TGACCCGGATTATTAGGGACAATATGCAGACCCTGTAAACCGCATAGAGAGGACTGAAAGCCCTATGAAGCGGCATATAAGTCTAACTGCTATTTCTATTGCTAAGTACGCCCCGGTATGCACGGAGTGTACGCTGCGATGCTCCGCCGAGCAGCTGGAGCGTCATGGAGGCATCGCAGGAGGTAAGAATGCATGCGCACATGTGCGCGTGTGCTGCACATGCTCATGTGGTGGATGCCGGGCCCCATTGCATCATACCGATTGCACTAGGATCTGTAACCCACCACTGGAGCTGAGAGTGGGACTTCACACTCCCTATCAACATCGACTGGAACCAGCACTAGAGAAAGACAAAGAACTAGCCCAAAACAGTTCCAAACAGCATCAACTCCAGAAGGAGACCATGATAAATGGTATCAAAGACTGTCAAGAGGTCAAGAAGACCAAGGACAAATGCACTATCCCTCCCCCCTCACAACAGAGGTCATCCAGAAGCACAATCAGTTCTGTTTCCCTCCCATATCCACCCAGGTCTGAAACTTAACCGAAAGAGGTCCAGATCATCTGCTTCATCAAGAATTTTTTGAAGTTGTTGCACCACAACTTTGTCAACAACCTTTCCCTTAAAAAAAGGGAGGTTAGAGATTGGTTGCAGGTTACCCAAAATAATTAAATCTAGTGATGGTTTCTTGAAGAGTTTCCCTTGTGTCAGTGAATACATGGCAAACTGTAAATTGTTCCGATCAATGTGCTTATATATCACTACAAACAATACATTAATACTGTTTCATTAAGTTGAAATGGCTTTCCTAGTTTCATTTGAACATAAACACTTGTTAATTACATCTGCACTTCGTAATGATGCCTTTATCTCCCTTCCTTGGCAATTTAATGATACTGTGATTTTTAGCTAGATTTTCCGAGAGAGAGTCATTCATTTCAATTCCTTAAAACCAAAGGAAATGCGATACTACTTCCCAAAACATTTCTGCTCAAAAAGTATAGAGAGAAGCACTCTCTTGAAAAAAAGACAGTTTTATGGCAAATAGGGACCAGGCTTCATCATTAAAAATTAAAGATTTAAAATCTGACCCTCTAAATGAAAGATTTAATAAAAGGTGGCTGGCTGAAGTGATTTGATATCTGCACTTAGGAAAAATCTAATGGCCATTTTCTCAAATGGATTTTTATCTATTTTCGTTAAGAATTACATTACAAGGAGACTTGAAATGGTCTAGTCCCTCTCATCTATATCCTTGCTTCAAGGCAAACAGTTTTTTATTTAATTGAAAATAGAAAAGCAATCACACATCTCCTAATAGAATAATTTGTCTCCACGTATAACTCTCAGTAACTATACATGTTATAATATTCAGCTACCGTAAAAGGAAAAGAAGGAAGGGGGGGGGGAAATGGAGTAGATCCTAAAATAAATCATTTTCCTTTCTCTCACAATTTAATCCTAAATGATTGTCTTTTTTTAATATATATAATAATTGCTTTGTTTAAAACTTTTCAGCCTTCTTCAATTTGGCCTCCTCCTTTGTCCAGGTTGAAAGTAGGTTAAAAATTCAGGAATTGTAGTTTCTACTCATCTATGGCCAAGTTAAAGAAGGTTGATCCAGCACCGATATGAGTTAAAGACAATCTTTCAGCTGGTGTCCAACTTCTAATTTGGGGGGGCATTTTTCAATTTGTGCTCCTGCTCTTTAATTTACAGTTCTCCATAAGGACATTGGGCCGTGCCGAGCAGCTACGATAACAGGCACCCTATCTAGAATCTCCCTGAATGATGATGAAGACGAGAAGACAATCAACCCTGAAGGAATGAACTACTCCACATTGCCCGGGAATATGATTTCTAAAGTGATCATTCAACAATCGGGAGGCATGCATATGCCCATGAGCATGAGTGAATTAGCTAACCAGTGTCTTAAAAAGGACAACACTGAGCTACGGCGAACTGTCTATTTATGTACTGATGACAACCTGAGAGGCGCAGACATGGATGTAGTCCACCCTCAGGACCGCATGATGGATAGTGACTACATCGTCATGCCTAGAGGTTCAGTGAACACACAGGCGTCTCTGAAGGACGACAGCAAGTTGAACATAGGCATGGAGACCTTGCCTCACGAAAGGCTTTTGCACTACAAAATTAATCCTGATTTTAGTATGAACCCAAATGTCATGGACCAGTTCAATATGAGTTTAGATCAACATCTCCCCACCCAGGAACACATGCAGAACTTGCCTTTTGAGCCTCGCACAGCTGTAAAGAATTTCATAGCTTCCGAGATGGACGATAGCACAGGACTAGCAAGAAGCGAAACTGGATCAACCATATCAATGAGTTCTTTGGAGGTTAGTAATGCGGAAACGGAATGCATGCACCCACTTTTCGTTATGTCAAATACAGATGGGGATGGCTTTCTCACCTGCACACACACACACACAAACACACACAGACACTAATAACAAGCAGTATACAGCTGTTTTCTCATGCTGCTGGAATGTCAACCCTAAACTCTACAAGGTAGAGCAATCAGGAAACCATTTTCACAAAAAGATTAGAACTATACTGTATTGAAATAGGCTATAAATATACAAAAGAAATGACTTCCTCCTTTATGATGATAAGTATGACAATTTTAGTAATGTATCATATTACATTTGTTATCTCAAATATAACAAATGATTTTCTTCCTATGACCTCTTTCCCATATAGAAAGAAATCCATAAAGCTATTGTTTCAGTTCTGGTGTCATCAAAAGGGTTATCAGAGATAACAATATCTATTTTAAGCTTGACCAAATAAACCAACTTTATATTCTTTCCTTTTACCTCTAAGAGTTTGTATCTTTAGTCAATTCAAATCGTGTCATAGAATTTGATTTCTTTACATTTATTCTTTATTATTAAGCTGGCCATACTATTAGCCAGTATGGTAAGGCAAAATGTGGATTGTTTAATTAACTTTCATTTTTGCTTGAATGAAGGGAAGAGGCTGCTGTGATTCAGGGCCTGGGCCTTGCCTCTTGTACAACTTGACTGGCTTAGCATACTATGCATCTTGAGCATTTTGAAGGGACCTTGTTAAATAGAAATAGAACTGGTCAAGAGAGGTTCTAATGTATTGTCTATGTTTATCATAAATACACATTTCTGTGTATATGTTATCATCAAGGTGTGAAATTAGGCATTTTATACAATGCCTACGAAATCTGTAAAATGCCAAAAAAAGGGCTGAAGTATGAAACGCTTGCTAAGCATCTTATGCAATGCTTAAAGGCAAACAAACGAAGTGTAAAATACTCCCTTCTAAAATGTCATTCAAGCCTCCCTTGTTGTAACAAGTAGATCAATATGAGTCTTTTTCACTTGGCTTTTTTTTTCAGAAAAAAAAGTCCTGTACTTTATTTTGCCTTTCTTTTTTTCATTTTCATATAAGTCTTTTTCAATAAAGGGTTAGAGCTAAGGTTAGGGTAATCCTTTTCACTATTCTCTTTTCAGACTTCGCCAAAATAGTTCTTGTCATTTTGCATAATGCTAGATATTATATACAATGCTTAGAGAAAGTATGTCACATATTAAAATAACACAGGTATTTCACACTTGGCCTAAACCATCACACATTCGATAGATTTCCTAGGCACTCTATACAAAGTCAACTTTTCACACATTGCCGGTAACATATAAATGAAACTTACTTCATGCTCTACAAGAAAGCCTCTTACAAAAAAAATGAATAACTGAAAAAATTTGGCCTGGGCTATTGGAATATCTTTGTAGCACTGAATGATTTTCAGATACGTTTCTCCTGTTTCAGCAAATTGGGCTCAGCATTTAAAAGATTTAGCTAGATAATTGTCTATCAAGATAGCTCAGCTAACTTCAAGAGAGTGTTCAAACGAATACTAGATAGTTATCTTGAAATAGGACTTCAAGATTTAACTTACCTTTTTTTTAAAAAAAGTATTGTTATTATGGGCCTCGCAAGATAAAATTAAGTCAGTCTGTTGAGGTCTGTACCAGTGGTGGGTTTCAAAAAANTGTTTTTTGCATGGCATTGAAGGTCTTTTAATGGTTTAAAGTAATTTAATGTAAAAAAATAATAATCATAAATTAATTTAATTTGTTCTATTTCTGCTTTGGGTTTTAGTAATAAATAGGAGGTTAAATTTTAACAAATAAAGAAATCATGATTGAATTAGATTGTATCCAATACTCTCTACCTATGAGTGGAATAAACACTTCTGGCAATGAGAATTCTCTATCTGAGGAGCATGAAGAAATATTGAGAGTGGAAGGAGAATTCTCATTGCCAGAAGTGTTTATTCCACTCATAGATGGACGGTATTGGATACAATCTAATTCTAGATTGTAATCTCTAGATTTCTAGAGATTAGGGAAAACCTCTGGAGCATATTAAAGCAAGGGAAATGTCTACTACAAGACTAGAACTCTATCCACATGGCATCTGTTGCAGCCTGCAATTATGGAAATAGCAACAATAATACCCTTATTCTCAAACATCTACTTAGCACTACTTTTAAATTCCTGCACAATGGTTTCAGTAGTTTAAAAAAAGTTCTTTGACACTAATCTTCCTAAAGATCAGTCTTTTTTAATCTTGGATTTTCCTGGTAGCATTCAATCATTCTTAATGCTGACAATGGCTGAGAATTTGAGCGACAGTTTTCAGATAGAGAAATATTGTTCTAAACTAAGTTAATGTTGTCTCATTTTAGCTGTGGTCAGGCAGTAGGAATGTGCAGTTTAGCTTTAGTGAGGGAGATATTAGAAGGAAATTTGATACTGATGTCAGAACTGGATGCTATAGCATGTGAGAGGAATCTTGGAATCCTAGTGGACAACCATTTAAATATAAGCCAGCAGTGTGCAGCAGCTGCCAAAAAAGCCAACACAGTTCTAGGCTGCATAAACAGAGGAATAGAATCAAGATCACGTGAAGTGTTAACATCACTTTATAATGCCTTGGTAAGGCCACACGTGGAATACGGCATTCAGTTTTGGTCAGCACGATGTAAAAAAGATGTGGAGACTCTAGAAAGAGTACAAAGAAGAGCAACAAAGATGATTAGGGGACTGGAGGCTAAAACATTTGAAGAACGGTTGCAGGAACTGGGTATGTCTAGTCTAATGAAA